CAGAGAAGTAGAGGAAAATCCGCCTCGAGCTCACAGATCGATTGATTGCGCGCGACTGAGAAATGGTACGGTAGGTCTGAAACGCTCTATACTTTGCAATATTTTATAAAATATATAGAATATACAGAGCTTGTATAAATATATAATACACTGTGTGTTAAAACGCTAGAAGTTCTATAACGACGTTCACGCGTCACGAACTCGACTCGTCCCGTGCGGCTGCTAAAGTCCCGCGAGTCGAGTATCGTTTCCGGGGGAAATCGCATGTATCGTACAAGTGAGCACACAGTAATTTCTTCGATTAATTCCACCGACTCGCATGGTCGCGCCCGGTCATTTATTCCGGCTAGTCGTCATCCACGCGGCCGACGCGTCACTCGAGCTTCTCGCTGCACAGTCCTCGCCGCTCCACTTTTTACTTATAAATAAACGAGCGGAGGAGAAGAAGAAGAAGAGACGTGTACAACGCGCGCGTGGGTGACGTTCTGCGACCGATCTCGTGAAAGGCGCGGGCGACGACGACGATCGGAGAGATGACAGTGATGATGATGATAATGATGATGACGATGATGGCGATGATGACGGTGATGCATCGTCTACCTTGAATCACGCAGAGTAGCACAGAAACGGAGAGAGTCGATTGTTTCAGCCGTTTTTTTTTTTTTTTCTTTTTTACGGTGCGTCTTACGAGATGGAGAATGCAAATATATTCGAGGGGGTTGTGTGTTTGTTATTCGTATGAAAATTATATTGCCACTCCATATATCCTATGTTACAAGTTCAAGCGAACGCATTTGTCTTTGTTTTTTCTGTTTTTCTTTTTTGTGTAACTCGAAGAATCGAGAAGCAGTTTATCGTTAGATCTTACATATCAGTCCGAAAGCGTTGGTGCGCGCGGTACACTCGCTCGTACGCGGATCGAATCTTAAGAGAGGGACTCTCGTGTCGCAGCGCGCAACTCGCGTGTCGCGTTGTCGGACGGAGGTGAGTCCCGTTGCATATGTGTATATATATGTATATATACATATGTGTATACATATACATACATACATATATATAGATATATATTTATATTTATGTTTATATTATGTATATATGTATGTGTGTGTGTGTGTGTGTGTGTGTGTGTGTGTGTGTGTGTGTGTGTGTGGTATGCGAAATCAGTAGAGCGATATCGGTGCTTCGGTGCCGTAGCGTCGATAACATTCGCGTACCACCTCGGTGTCTTCCGAGTCCCCTTCGAGAGTATACGACGTGCGCGAGCGCGCGCGCTCGCGATCTCGAGTACGCGATTACTGCGAAGACGCGGTTTAATGAGGTCTCAGTGTAACGATTTTATTGTTGCAATTGTAATTACAGTAGTCGTAATCGTAATCGTGGTTGTGAGGTGGCAACAAGGACGTCGTGTCGGGAACCGGGCAGGGAAGATGCCTGGGTCAGGCGAGCTCGTTGCTGTCCGAGAAGTGGTCGCGGACGTCGAGACAGATGGCCAAGTCGAGCACCAGATGATGAAGGACCGGGTGCTCGAGGACCTCCGCGTCCGGCAGAGTCGGGTAAATACGCGGTCTCTGCTGGCGGCCCCTGAACGAGCGATGCATGTTCAGCACCACGTAGCAGAACACGTACCGCACCACCAGCAGCCGCAGAAAATCGTCGCCGAAGAATTGCAGCACGCTGGTTTCTACGGATGTGTGTCCCGCTTTAGGACGATTGTGGACGGAGGTTGTCACGTGGCACGTTAGATCGTCGGGAACGGCTCGATTCGTGGAGGAGGATGCTTGTCGTGTCAGTCGGTTCTGCTCGACTCGTGACTTATCAAAGTGGATACACTCGTTTTCTCTTTTTTTTTTTTTTGGAGCTCGTGTCTCTCTTTCTCTCTTTCTCTTTATCTCCTTCACTCTTTCTCTCTTTCTTTCCCCCTCTTTCTTTCCCCCTCTTTCTCTCTCTCTCTCTCTCTCTCTCTCTCACATTCTTTCTCTCTCTCTTTCCCTCCCTCCCTCCCTTTCTTTCTTTCTCACTCTATTTGTCCCGACGAGACGTTTGTTTCCTGGACTCTCATCGTCCTCCACTACCGGGCCCGCTCGTCCGCTTCCGTTTAACCGAAGCCTCAAACGAGCAACGGTGCGAGTGATGTCCAAGTATCCTTACCACATCGGGAACGCGTGACGAGCTGACTGGCCTCGTTGAGGAATCGCTCGATGTAATGCTGGCAACGCTCCCAATGATGCACGGCGAGGCTCCCGACGTTGCATATAAGGCAAAAGGCGGCAAGGGGGGCGTGAAGAAAGAGGGTGAACAGGCTACCACCGTGTCGCAGATCGCGCAGGGTCGACGGCGTATCCTGCGGCGACATGAGCACCATCAAAGGCTGGCCGAAGTAGCGCGGTATCTCCTGGAACACGAAGCTGTTGTCCGAGTCGACGACGACGAAGAGCGGCTTCCTGGTGAAAGGGTACAGATCGCCCGGGTAGAGGCAGTGCGGCTCCTTGCTGCCGGCCGGCCTCTTCCCGTGCTCCGGATCCCTCTTGCTGCACGTGGATACGCCGCCCAGGTCGTACCCCACTGCAAAATCGCGATTTTATCAACATCGTGCAATTCTGCGCTCGCCGATCTGTCGAATGTCAGGCAACATTGAGGAGAGAAATCGCGATTCGACTTTACGATTTTACTTTCCTGGCATTCTTTCGCGACATCGCATTACACGACGATACATTGACATCGTGCACTGAAATCTTCACAAACGACTCCTTTGGCACAGATAGTGTGACTTATTTATGGATCGTGATTTTCCTCGATGTTGCCATCATTCAATCGTACAACGCAGGGGATATTTTCACTCCCAGGCCGAAGCGAGAGCGCATGCTCGCCCGCGGGATTTTTGCACGTGGTGTTTCGGCGAATATTCTTCATCAGTAGGCAATACAGCTGCGGAATTCGCCCCGCCAATTTATTTACACCGCCAATTATTGCAATCGATGAAGCCGCGCTTCCTAATACATTGATATTGATTGCAAAGCCACATTCGGCATGGTCGTATGAATCTTTATTACGAAGCGGCCTTGGTATCGGGCCGCTACTTTATTTTACTTTAAACAGCCTTGTTGCGACAGCAACTTGTAGTCTCGGCCTCTCTAGTAGTCGCGCGGTCAATAAAGATTTCTCTCCCTCTTCTCCCCCCCCCGTATCTCTTTCTTTTCTTCCTTTTTTCCAACTGCTACTATCAGGTAAGATATACGGTAAGATCGATGAGATCGCCGAGAGATCCGCGACTGAGGCACACTCGGATCGAAGCGATCCGTACGGTGTGGACGTGACGTAAAGATGCGCTCACACCGGACCGGACGGTGTGAGCTCGCTCTACGTACACGTGTACGAAGCACGTGGCCTACGCGGCTCTTAACGGCTCGACGA